GCCTCTGTTACTGCAGCAGCGTCGTGCTCTGCTGCCTTTGTGGGGCAGGCAGGGGTTGCCTTATCCCAGCAGTAAGGTGGGATGCTCGTGGGCAGCTTCTTGTGCAAGGGCACAGCATCTCCCTTGTTTGTGCAGACCTGTGCTCTGCCCAGCCTGCTGGGCTCGGGATGAGAGGTAACAGCCCCACGTTGTGTCAGGGGAGGGGCAGGTTGGATATTAGGACAGATTTCTTCTCCAAAAGAGAGGTGGTGATGCACAGGATGCCTGGGGGGGGGGGGGTGGGTCACTGTCCTTGGAGATGCTCAGAACTGTGGGGATGTGGCACTGAGGTATGTGGGGATGGGCATGGTGGCGTGGGCTGGGGTAGGATTGGTGATCTTAGAAGCCCTTTCCAATCTTAGTGAGCCTATGAAAGCTTAGAGCTGCTTCAACGTGTTTCCAAAGCGTGGTGCCAACAAAGCTCTTACAATTCTGCTTAGGTTGCTTACAACATTTGCTCTTGTGGGACCATTATAGGTATGAGAAGAAGATGAAGACGGTGCCTGGTATCACCTTTTTCTGTTGTATTTTGGATGCCTCCCCCGAGGAGAAATCCCCTGAGATTCCACCAGGACCGTGCTGATGAGCAGCCATGTGTGCAGCCAGCAGATTCAGAGGTGCAGAGCTCAGTGTGAGGAGATGCGTGGTTGGCTCCTCTGCAGATCCTAACCCTGCTATTTCTGCATCCTGCCCTCCTTCTGCTGCAGATTCTTCAGCACATTCAGCTGCTCAGTGCACTGCAGAGCATGTGAGTCCAGGGGAGATCAGCCCCCACGTCACGAACGTTGCTTGGGGAGCAGGAAATAACTCTGCATTGAAGCATTTAGTGCTGATTTATACTCTGTGTCCCCAAGAAGGAAGTGAGACTGAATTTCGCTCTCTCCTTGAGCAGCCCAGACAGCTGGGCTTTGTGGGCTCTGCTGCCATTGTGACCAGCAGCGTGGAGCAGGCAGTGCTGGGCTCTGATTGATGTATGGGACTGGGAGAGGAGGGGGGAAGCATTTGTTGGGTGCTGTCAGATCCCGGGGAGCTGCTGACAGCTCATTCCTGGCCTGCATTGCCCAGGCTGACACCCTGACCACCCCATTGCCAGCACAGGGCAGGAGGTGTTTCCCACAGTGGGATCTGTGGCTTTCCCTTTGCACACAATTCAGTGAGAGGGGGCAGAGACAAAAAGGGGCCTGGGCTGCCCCTCACCATGCACCCGGTGCTGGCACTGCTCCTTTTCTCATGAAAGCCCTTGAAAGTGTGGCTGTAGAACATGGAAATCGGGGAAGCGTTCACCTCCAGGTTGTGTGTGATGGGAGGTACAAATCCCAATGGAAATAACAGTGCTGAAAGCTAGGAATCAATACAGACCCAATTCAGGATTTCTGCTGGAGCTGTTTCTGCTTTAACCCTCTGAACAAATGGGCCCTTGGCTGTGCTGCAATGAGCTCAGTGCAGAGCAGTGCCTCCGTAATCACCGCTGCTGCTCCTTTCCTGTGCTGGGAGGGCTGGGGGAAGGCAGGGACTGCTCAGTGTCTGCAGGTCTGCTGAGCTCTGGGCTTTCCCAGGGATGGGGATCTGCCTTCAAGGTGAACACAGGTAGAAGGAGAGCCCAGAAATGCGTGCTTTCTCTCCCTGTGTTGGTGCCAATGGGCAGGAGGTGCATTCTGCTGCGACGGTTGGGCGCCGTGGGCTCTGGTTTGTGGTGAGAAATAGCAAAGGATGTGACCAACGTGTTCACTTGTGGCTCTGAGCATCCTGTGGGGGAGTGGGAAGCAAACAGAGACACAATAAATGCCAAAGAATGGGCTGATGTGAACACGTGGTGATGGGAAGGGATGGGGTGGCAGCCCTGCCAGCCTCTGTGTGCGGGTTTTGTTAAAAATATTTGTGCAATTAAAATCTTTGTTCCCAAAAGTCTGTATACGAACTGGAGGTAAACCAAAAGAAGCCCGTTCACGGCCAGGTTTTGCAGCAGAAGAACGTTGGCTTCAGTTTATAAAAGCCAAAAGGAAAGGCTGTTCAGCTGCAGCGTTATGTTTGAGATGGAGGTGGCTGCCAGGTGTGCAGGGATTTGAATGAATGCTCCGAGAGGATCGCTGTAGGAAATGCTGAGTGTGGTCATAGGAGTTTTATGTTTCCTGCGCCTGGGGCACGGCGTGCTCTGAGACTGGGAAAGGAGCTTCTTTTCCGCCTCCTTTCCCCTTTATTCCCCCCCATTTTTCCTCTCCTTTCTCAGTTTTCTTTTTCTTTTCTCTTCCCCTTCCTTTTTTTCCCCCTTTTCCTTCCTTCTTTCTCCATTTTCCTTTTTTTCCCCTTTCCCCTCCCTTTCCCCCCTTTTTCCACCCTTTCTTTTTCCCATTTCCTTTCTATTTTTTCCCTTCCCCCCCATTTCCTCCCCTCACATCCCCCCTTTATTTCCCCCCTACTTCCCCCCCCTATTTCCCCTTCTCCTTTTTCTTTTTTTCCCCTTCCCCTCCTTTTTTCCTCCTCTTTCTCCCCTCCTCACATACAGAAGGGACAGCAGCCGGGCCGCCCCACTCTCCCCATTGCAGCATTGAAGCCGAATAGAGGAATTTTCCACAACTTCCAAAAGTGAAGTAAATTCCCCTGGCAAAAATAAAACCCCACCCCGGCATTCACAGAGGCTCAGAGCTTCTTTCCTTTCTCTCTTTCCCTTTTTTTTTCGGTCTTGAAGCCGTGTCCAGAAATAAACAACTGTTTCAATCCGCTGCGCTGATCAAAAGCGCCGTTCTAATCAGTCCCAGGCACGACATCACGCTGCTCCGTTATCGCTGGAGCAAATCATCGCAAATACACAACAAAAATATCAACGTAATGCGCTCCAGATCAGGAATGTCCCGAAGAAAAGCTCCTTCCTTGCAGGTGTGCCTTATTTTAGGAAGAAAGACGGCGGAATTGGGGCTGCTTTGGGGCGAGTGTGGCTGTCAAAGCAGAGAGGAGGAGACGAGAGCTGGCTGAGCCCCGTGTCGCCGCGTGGAGCTCTCCGAATGCTCTCCCCTTCCCTGTGTGCATGGTGATTATTTTCTAAGCTGACAAATTATCTTAAAAGGGCCCGTTGTGCTGTAAGCCCTCCTCTGAAGTGCTGTTAGGGAATGAATGCTGAGCTCTGAGCCCATCCAGGGGCAGCTCCGTGCTGTCCCCCCGCCCTGATCCCATAGCGGTCTGTGATGACCTTCCTGGCCCTGCAGTGGGGGACCCTTGCACCAAACCGATGTTGGGGCGCTGTGAAGGTTTGGATTTGCTTTGAGGGGAAGTTTGGGATCGCTCTGATGTGTCGTGATCCTGGAAGGCCTTTGGTAAATGCAGTGAGTAGTTCCTCCCAGCAATCTGATGCTGCTGTGAGCGCTGCTGAGCATCGATGCTGCTGTAGGGATGGAGATATCATAGAATCACAGCATGGCCTGGGTTGAAAAGGAGCACGATGCTCCTCCAGTTCCAACCCCCTGCTGTGTGCAGGTCACCAACCAGCAGCCCAGGCTGCCCAGAGCCACATCCAGCCTGGCCTTGAATGCCTGCAGGGATGGGGCATCCACAGCCTGCTTGGGCAACCTGTGCCAGTGCCTCACCACCCTCTGGCTGAAAAACTGCAGTGCAGTTTGTACCCTAAAACGCTGGCTGGGATGGGGAGGAGTGGCTGGCAGTTCTCAGTCTTGCCTGTAAATTACAAGGAGGGTGACTTCTCCATTTTCCTTCTTTGTCTCAACGAGGCTTTTTCTTTTGCCTGCATGCCCCAACCCATGCACAACTGGGAAGCGTGAGTTTAAAAAGGGGATGCAAAGATTTAAAATGGAAAGCACGGATTTCCAACGTTCCGCTGCACTTTTTGTCCAGCGTTCCTCTCCAAAAGTCACCCCATCTTCGTGTGCTCTGCGCACACGAATGGAAGGAGAAAGGAGACGTCAATGCCGTGGGCTCATCTGTTTCCTATCGCGTGTGTTTACATATTAATGCGCAATACAAATTTGTAAACACAGACGTTTGATGCTCTGGTGGGAGCCGATGCCTGTTCCCTTCTGCCCCTTTATTGGAACAGCATGTCTGATGCTGCGGAGCCGCAGATGTTGATGGTTTCAATACTGGATACATTTCAAATGCTCCGCGCTCTTATTTGTCCTGCTGCGTATCGCTAACCGGCCCTCCTTTGTTTTGTGTAATTGCCAGACAAATTATCGTTTAATTACAGCCCAAACCTCAGGAGATCAAACGGGAGTGAGGGGGCTCCCCCCGGCGCGACTGACCCTCCCTCCGTGGTGTGTGGGTGATGGCAGGACGCCCCTTTGGTGGTAACACGAGGAGTGCTTTTGTGTCTCCGTGGGTTTTAAGCCCTCGTTCTGTGGATGGGACACCCCCACCCCAACCCACCCCGCAGGGACACGGGGCACCTTTGGTGCTGTTGGCTCTGTTTGCTGTATTGGAGTGCGGGCAGACGGTTCTGAGTCACTTTGGGCTCCTTCTGAGAGAGCTCAGCGGCCAAGGCGCCTCGACCTTTCCGAAACCTCAGGTTGTTTTCTCCTTGTTCTCATTAACGACAGCACAACAGCACTGGGTTTGTGTTCTTATTCACCCCTACATCTATAAAAGTGAGAGCTCCTGCAGCCATCACCAGTCTCCAAACACTGCAAGTGGTGGGAAGCACTGAACAGCTGCAGTGTGCTGTGATCCCCCCAGCTCATGGCCAACAGCCCAGGGATATTCCTGTTCACTATCTGGGAGATGAATGTTTGCCCACCACCCTCAGCCCAAACCCAAAGAGCCCCAAAAGCACGGCCACGAGCAGCGCTCTGCTGCACCCATCCCAGTCCACCGACCTGGAAATGGGGGCTCATGGAAAAAAATCTCATGCTTTTAAATAAAAAATCAGTATGACTTTTGGTTTTTAAACCTACGTTTAATCCTTCTATATTGCTGTTATGTTTGTAGATACAGAATTTTCTTTATTTAATCCCAAAATACGGCAGGTCCCCGTCAGGCACTTTGTATCACATCTGTCATAGGTAACAGAAATGGCTTTGGGGAGCGAATATAAGCTGTGCCCCAACTTACAGCGAGCCGCACTGTGCCCCCAGAGCCAGAGATTATTTACAGGAATAACACAATTATCACGGGTGAAAATAAAATGAATGGGACTGTGGGAGGGGTGTCCAGAACTCTGCTCAGTCCTCATCCTCTGCAGCTCCTGCTCTCATCCCCCAGCACTGCGTGGGGATGGGATGCGAGGGGACGGCTCTGGGAAGACCTGTGTGGGGCTCTGTGTCCTTAACGCAGCACCAGAGCCTTCAACCTATGTCTGCATTGCGATGTGGGTCCATCGAGGCACTTCCATGGGGTTGACCAGCTCCAAGTCAACACATGAGCGCATGCAGCTCCTCTGCTGACCCTCACTCTCTGAGGATCCCTTTGAAATTAGGGGAAATCCACAGGGAGGATGAGCAGGAGCTGGTGCGGCTCAGGACTGACTGTAGGCAAGCTCGATAGTTTCAGGAAAACAGATCTGTGGAAATGCATGCATCTATGTTCCCACTTCAGAGTGCAAATAGTACAAAGGTGTCTGCACCGCTCACCCATCCCTTACAACCCTACACAAATATCACCGATGGGTATCGGCCTGCTTGGATCACCACAGCCCTCCGTGCTGCCTGCAATACTGCACGTTTAGCCCCAAATTAAAGGCCCATCAGCCTGCTCCAGCACCGCACCGTGTTTCGTACTCAGCAATTATCAAGACCCTGGGTCTGACCAGGGAACGGGTTTGCGTTACATAGCGATGCGCTCAGGAACATGACAGCATCCCGCTAAAGGCAGTGGTTAATTGCTGAGTGCCAGCTGGGGTGATTGCACCGGCCGTCCCTGAAGGCAGCAGGCAGGCTGTCACTCACCCCAAAATGGCTCGCCGCGCTCGTCAGTCTGGATGGCACGGAGAAGCTGTAGCCGTACAAACCATATGGAGGATGTAAGGAACAATTAAGTGCTTCCCGAGCAATGGGACTCGATGGGAAAATGTTTCCAGATGCGTGTAATCCATACAGCATTTGGCTGGCGGAGTTGGGGACCTGCAGACACGGCCCGTTCAGGTCTTCAGACTTCGAGCTCTTCAGGCTGGCGATACCGAGGGAGGAGAGCTTGGGCACATCGACCACAAAGTGGGGCAGGACGGGGGGAGCAGGGCCGCCTGGCTTCTGGTGGCTGGGGAGGATGAGGGGCTGCTGGCGGAGGAGGTTGGCGGAGCACAGCCGGTAGCAGAGGGGCACGCCGAGGCCGGGCAGGTGGGGCTCAGGACACGGTGCGCCGGCACTGCTCACAGCCAGGTGGAAGGTGGGAGGTGAGCACGGAGGGGACAGCAGCGGGTTGAGAGGAGAGGGTGTCCCAGCACTGGAGGTCACCGGGGAAGAGCTGGAGCTGCTGCCTGGAGGGAAGAAGAGGAATAATCTGCAGTGGGTCAGCGGCTGCTCCAGCCAGCAGCTCCGCGCCGCTGTGCGTCCCGCTGTCACCAACCGGGAAAAAGGGAGATCCACCCATCAGCTGAATGCTGCTCCCACTTGTCTAAGAAATACCCGTGCGTGTCAAACCCCATCAGCATGGCTGTCCATACCCGTGTGTGTCAAACCCCACCGCTGTGCCTGGAACAGCCCCACGCCAGCTCTGCGCCCGCCGTGCCAGCCATAGCCGCCTCCCGCGACAGCACCTCTGCTTATTTCAGGCTCCCAGTTTTCTGTGCAAATTACAGGCAGCTTTCCCCCCTTCTACGTGAGAACAAAAAGATGCATTCAGCCCAATGGAGAGTTTCTTGTACCTTCCTGCTCACAGGAATTGACTCATTTTCCTCGGCTCCCCATGCAATTTGAGACGTACCCTCGAGTACCGTAGGTGTCTCCCGAAGCCGTAAATGCACACAGCATTTTGCCATTCTCTTTTAGGAAAGAAATGAACGAGCGCTTTCCCATCCAGATGAGCTCGCTGGGTGCAGCCCGTGCCCGAAGCAGCACATCACTCAACCCCCACACAAATTTGGGGATAGCAGTGGGAAGAACAGAGCAACTCAAAGACCAAATTCTTTTTGCCGTTGCTATCAGGCTTTAAAATCCAAGCTGATGACCAGTTATTTTATGTAGCTTATCATTTTTAATTTGTCTCCTGGCTTTGAGGCTCCATGATTGCTATTTCTCTTCTTTTCCTTCCTTTCTCTTCTTTCTTTATTGTTTTTCCCCCAGAAATACACTTTTCTTATCAGCAGAGATAAGAATTTTGTTCTATTTCCATCTTTCCAGAATCATAGAACGGTTTGGGTTGGAAGGGACCATTAAGATCACCTCGAATATTGGCCCTTAGGAAAAATACCCATTATGTTACAGTGAGTTAAAAAATAAATCCAACCAAGCCGTGACATTTTAGTGTCTGTGTGACAATAGCTGCAAGTTGCAAATGTTCTCTCAGCCCCCACTGCTGCCCCTCTCCCTGCTCTCGCGTTGCAGCCTGCACAGTTGGTTCAAGAGAAGCTTTTTGTTTTAGAAATGGTCTTTTCTATTAAAAAAAAAAGGTTAAAAAATAAGGTTAAAAAATCTGGAAAAAAAGGAGAAAAAAAAAAGAAGAAAAATAAAAGGAAAAAAAGGGGGAAAAAAGGGAAAAAAGGAAAAAAAGGGAAAAAGGGAAAAAAGGGAAAAAAGGGAAAAAGGGAAAAAGGAAAAAAAGGGAAAAAAGGAAAAAAAGGAAAAAAGGAAAAAAAGGGAAAAAAAATGGTCTCTCTTTACAATCTGTTAAACCTCTTAATTCCTCCCAAGTCTCCTTTTTACGACTCGTTATTCTTAATGCGGTGTTTCTAAACAACATCCTTCAGTGGTTTGGTAGCAATTAGCACTGTGGGCTGCAGGACACAGCAACCCTACTCCAAAACAACCTCTTGCATCTTTATATATATATATACATCCATATATTTATACTTTTTTTTCTTTCTTTCTTTTTTTGTTTGTCTCAATCTTCCTGCAGCTTCCGCCACGTCCGTCACTGCTTCCCCCGGAGCGCTCACACCGAATTCAACGGGACTTTTGGCAAAATAATCGTACAGAATCACAGAACCCCGTGCACCCGCACTCTCACAGCCCCAAACCCACAGTTGTGACCCCACTCAGCCCTACATCCTCGTCCTCCTGCCAGCAGCTCCAACCCGGCCCCACGGCCCCGCACTCACCCTGACTGTCTGCCCCGAAAGCCTTCAAGTCCAGAGCGAGTTGTGGCCGCCATGGGAACGGCTCCAGGAGCCCATCCAGCACTCCCCTGCAGGCGATATGGGGCTGAGAGCCAGGGCTGGGCCTCAGGCTGTGATGGGGGGTGACTGAGCCGTTACCTGTTCCTGCCAGGGTCCCGAAAGCCTTTGGCAAAGGGATTCCTGTCGATCTTCAGCTTGGTGATCTGCGGGCGGAAGCAACATCTCAATGGGGCCGCTGGGGAGCAGGAGGCCGGGCGGCCGCGGCCCCGTGGGTACCTGCTGGTTCTGGTAGGCCGTCACCGTGGTGAACTCGGTCTCTTGGAAGGAGAAGGTTTGCACCCCTTCGGCTGGCAGCGACTGAATCTGCGCCAGGTCGAAGCGGGAGTCCTGGGCGATAACGTGGACGCGGGGCTTGTACTTGTGCATGGACTGCAGGATGATCTGTGCGGGCAGAGAGGGCCGGGCTGAGCCGCTGCCCCGAGTCCCACCGTAGCCCCACTGCGCGGCTGCCCCACACCTACGTGCCCCTTGTCGTCCATCTCGTTGTTGGTGAGCTTCACCCGGTCGAAGCTGATGATTTGCCTCATCCATGTTTCCCCCGAGCAGGGGGAGTCGGGGTGGATGTAGAGCCGTGGTGTGATGCAGGAGTGGTCCGTGTTCCCTGCCACCATCCACTGCGAGCTGTGGTAGACGTACCTGCGCCAAGTGGGACACCGTCAGCACACCGTACTCCTGATGTGCCAATCCATCCTGTGTCCATTCATCTATCCATACATCTTTCCAATCTTTCCATCCATCCATCTGCATGTCTGTCCCTCGGCCTATTCCTAATTCCATCAGTCCATTCTTACATCCATCCATCCATCCATCCATCCATCCATCCATCCATCCATCCACCACCCGTCCATCCCCTCATCCCTCCATCCATGAGTTTGCCATCTATTCATCCATCCATCCATCCATCCATCCATCCATCCATCCATCCATCCATTCCTCCATCCATTCATCCCTCCATCCCTCCACCCATCCATCCATCCCCCCATTCCCAGCACAGCCCAGTGCAGCCGTTGGCCATTCGGCCATCCAGAAGGGCTTCATCTCTTCAGCCACCATTGGAGCTCACCATACCTGTACCGTTTGGAGTCCACTGGCACGACGTCGATGGCAATGTAATACTGCTGCATTGGCTCCAGCCCCTTCACCTTCACCCTGACCGATGGGAACATCCGCCTGCACAGGGCACGGGGCAGCAGTTAAGGAGTGCCCATGGCAGTGGTTGTTTAAAGAGGTGAAAAGGGCTTGAAAAATTAAACAGATACTGGAGAAAAAATAAATAAAGAAATAAAGAAATAGCAACAACAACAAAAATAAAAGTAGGAAAAAAAAAAAAAAAAAAAAAAAAAAAGAAGGTAAAAACACAGCAAAGTGGAGTTGAGAAAAAGAAGAAATGGATGTGAGACGCAAAACGGAGCGGGAAGGGCTGAAGGCAGGAGCCGGGGAGCCGGGGGCTGCTACCTGCCGGCCTTGGTGATGATCATCTCGGTGCCGATCTCGTGGAACCTCTTCCAAAGCTCAGAGCCCTGCAGCTCCACCTGCACCTCGTCCCCCACCTCCCGGCTCTCGGCGCCGGCCTTGGGCCGCTTCTCTGCGGGGAAGAGAAAGCGGAGGGAGCGCTGGGGCGGCTGCCGGGACCTCACCGGGACCCCCCCCCGCTCTGCCCCGCCGCTACCAACCGGGCTCGGATGCTCTGCGGCTCTGCCTGCAGCCCGCCCCGCTCTCCTCGTCGCGGCCGTCGGGTCCCTTTCTCTTGGCCGAGCGGCCCACGAGAGCTTCCACCGAGAAGGCGTGAGCCCGGGAGCTGAGCGCCATCCCCCCCCCCCAGCCCGGGCCGGGCTCCCCCCGGGCGGCCGCGGGGTTCAGGCGGGCGGCGGAGCTCCGGGCGGCGGCTCCATCAGGGTGCGGGGGGGGGGCCCGCAGCCGGCGGCCGTCGGGGGGCAGCGGGCACGGCGAGGTGCTCCGAGTGAGGAGAGAGGAGGCTGCGGCTCCCACTGTTTGTTTTGGAAACTGATGGGAGCGTAAGAAACATTGAGTGACATTTGGTAGGACCGGGACGGGGGGAGGAGGGGTGGGAGGGGAAAGGGAGAGGCGAGGGGAAGATGGGGGAAGAGGAGCCGGCCCCGTCTAGGATCAATAAAAGAGTTACTGTTCTCCATTAAATTGTAAAACTCAAAGAAATTTGACATAATTGCACACTAGGGGCCACTTTCCCAACAAAAGTGCAAATAACGTTTAACAAGAACCAGCGCAAAAAAAAGGGGAAAAAAAAAAAAAAAAAGAATGAAGGACGGAAAAGAAAAGGGAGGTTATGAGCGGGGGAGGAGAAGCTGGGGAGAAACTCCCCACGCTTTGGCTTCTCCGGCGAGCCCCGATGCTGGCTCCGGGCTCCGGCTGTCCCGACGGGGCCGCTCCCGGCGGATCTCGGTGTCCCCGCTCCGTGTGCCGGCGCCGAGTGCCGATTTTTGCCTCCGTCGGGTTTTTTCTCCGCACTGACCCGGTGGCAGCGGCTCGGAAACGGAGCCTCGGTGGGGCAATTAAGCCTGAGGTCCCGCTCTGCCGCTCCACTCCTGCATCCCCTTCCCCGTATCTCCGGTCCATTCCAGAATCCCGGTCCTAGTCCAGCATCTCGATCCCACTCCTTTATTCTGATCCTTCTCCAGCATCCCGATCCCACTCGTACATCCCAGTCCCGTTTCCGTGTCCCGCTCCCAGTCTCCCCTGCAGTGCCGTTGTGCTCCAGTGGGACCCGCATCCCAAAGCTGATGGGGGCTGCAGCCCCGGGCCAGGAAAAAAAATAAAATAAAATAAAAAGGAAGTTAAATTTGTGGACAGTGTTGGTAAAGCATCAGCTGAGGCAGGTGAGCCTTCGGGAGGGAATGTGGAGGTGGGTGAGGTGCAGGTGGGGATGAGGCAGTGGCAGCATCGAACGTCAGCCCTCTGCTGATGTTTGTGCCAGTGCCACAAACTGCTGCTGGCCTCACAGCCCACATGAGGATGCACAATACTGAGGATGCACGTTACTGAGGGTGCTCGTCACTGAGCTTACTCACTGCTGAGGATGCTCGTTATTGAGGATGCTCGTTGCTCGGCTCACAGCGGGCTCAACACATTCATTCCCATTTACACCTGTTTATACCCATCTGCACTTCTCTACCTGGAGAAATGGATCACTCCTTCAGCATGTTGGTAATTAGAAGGGGGTCTGGGGGGGGTCCCTCCCTTCGCAGCACTGATAGAAGCCAGCTGAGCTCACGGGCCACAAGCCTTTATCTCTGCTGACACGACAGATTATTAAGAAGTATTTCAAGTAATCTTTGATTTCCTCAGCATTGCAACACATTGCAAGAACTTGGAGCGGGAACAAGCGGCCCCTTTTTAATTTCCTACAAGGAGAAATAAAACAAAAATAAAGCGCAATTGAGACGATGTAATCAGGAACATTTTGAGGGTTTGAGTCAGATGGAGGCGGCAGGGCTGCCTTTCCAGGGGCTGCTTTCAGCCATCCGAGACCGACTCAGCCCCTCCCTGGGCTTTGTCATCTTATTGTCCTTAACGAATTACAGGGTGGGATGTCATATATTTCCATCATCGGAAAACGGAGCAGATAATCCCTTGGCATCAAGTTCAGATGAACTAGCTCCATTTTGAAGCAAGTATCGTGCAATACATCAGAAATGTTTGCCTCACTTGAGAACGATCCTGGATGGCGCTCTGAGGCACACAGGTAGATGCCAAAGCCTGGCATTGCTGGCCGTGCTGGGGCTGCCACGAGGCATTTCACTGTGCTGCACTGCTCGCTTTTGCCCAGATTCACTCTGAGTTTAACAAAGTGAAACCAAACTGAAGGAAAGGTCTCAAAGCTGCCGTTGGGAAGGCAGGGATCCTCTGTGCTCCGTTACGCTCCGACGCCGTCATCCTCTGTGCCTCCACCTGAACGAGTTTATGTGAAAAGCAGTCATAAACCTGGCGCTGAGGCACTGTCAGGTCTAACAGCAAAGCAGAGGATCCTCATTTTCTGTTTTGAGAACCGCGAGCGAGAAAACCTTTCTTTGTACGCAGTGCGAAACAAAGCCCTGCTTGCTGACCCTGGAAAATCTCCACTCGTGGTGTGGATGGGAAAACTGTTTTCATCTCATAACGGAATTACAGGATAGAAACCTTGAGACCAAATATGTGCCCACGGGTATCAGACACGCAACAACAGGGCAGGGCTGGGAGCGCAACGCTCAGCTCGTTCCGTTGTGCCGCGGGAGAAAGGCGAGCGAGAAGCTGATGGTGCAGGGCGCAAATCGCGCTGTTCTCTCGCAGAAGAGCTGCGTCCCTGCGCACCGCCGCTCTCGGCCACGGGGAGGAGAGGGAGTTCGCTCTGGGGCTGCTTTACGGCTGTGCTGGGAGCGGCTCGGAGCGGTTCTGTGCTGGGCACTGCGGGTGCGTGCATCGACCTTCCATTTCTCTAAGCGTGGCTGCTTCATCTGAATCACTGAGCCACCGCTCAGCAGCAGATTAAAGGCAATTTCCAGCAAACAATGGTTTGAGAAGACACTCCGAAAGACTAAGCAAAAATTGGCAGAAACACTTAGCATGGCGCTTAGCACGGCGCTGCTGAGATCGCTTCCCCTCGCGTTCTCGGATGTCAGGTCCCACAGCGTAGCTTCTATTTCACCCCCCATCCCAGTTTGCCCATCATGAACTCTGAAGGACCCGTGGGTGCAGGAAGGGGCAGCGCCGAGCCCAGGTCAGCCCAGTGGGTGGGCATGGGAGGGTACACAGCATTTTGGAATTGGATTTGCCTTCCTGCCCTCCTGCCACATGCGCGGCATTAGCCGAGGATGTATTAAAATAAACCTCTGTTATGTTATTTTATCCATCGGCACAAAGGAAGGTTGTACAGGGAGGAGGATTAAGCCCCGAGGAAATGATTCAGCAAAGCAAAAACAATCCGAGCAGCATTTGGGGGAAAGTTAAGCCGAATTTGGTGCTGGAGATCAGTTTGTTGTCCCAGCAGGTTTGCGTCCACCTGCTGCCACCTGAGCCCACTGCCGTGGCCAGGGCAGAGCTATTGGGATGCTGCAGAGCGCCCATATCCCACTGCAACCCAATGTGTTTGAGGGAAAGGGAAGAATTACTGGCTCTGTGCTGCAAAGGATGTTTTTTGGGCCTCTTTTCCCAGCCCATCTCCTGCCTTCTTGTTGGCGTCAGTGATTGCAGCTGAGGACTGTGTGGAGCGCACGCACTGTTGGTTATCGGCCCCATTAACAAACAACACAGCAAGGTATTTTCCAAGCTCTGCCAGACATTCAGGCTCATTGATGGGGCTGGGAGAGGCATCTCTGCCTGGTGGGAATGAGGTCCTGTCCTGCTGGGCTTTCCTTCCCCAGCACAAAATCTATCCAACAAACAGCCCCTTCCACTGCAGAGCGAAGGGGAGAAGCCCTGCTGCGGTGAACTTTCCTTGTAATACTTAAAGAAAACACTCCAAGGATGTGGAATCATAGAGGATTTGGGAAGAGCAAAGTGAACTGTGTGGCTGGAGTGGAAAACCTTTGAGGACAGATTGGAGACTTCTGTGGGTCCGAAGGTAAGTGTGAGCCCAGGGCTTCAGCTGAGCCCGGCAGGGAGGGACACACTCCTCCTGAAGCTGCTGTGCCAGAGCACTTTGTTGATGTTCTCCATTCGGATATTGCAGCAATTGTTGATGTGATAGCAAATATCAGAGGGAAGAGGAGCAGCTCAGAGAGGGGAGTGTGTTTGGGAGGAGGACAACAAGTCAGAAAAGGCACGAGGAAGCTTTCACTTCTAGGCACCAAAGTGCTGGTGAACCGTGAGCTTGCACTTTGGTTAGGAAGTGATTATTGGAATGAATCAGAAAAGATACGATCTTAATATTCCATGGGAGCTGCCAATACAAATATCTGTCAGCAGATATGTAAGAGAATAGCTTCAGAATAAAAGGAGAATGAATTACAAGACATTTCCGAAGGAGAGTGATGTCAGCCCCGAACCAAGCTATATATATTCTTTGTATTTGAAATTGAAACCACGTGAACTCTCCATGCAGAGCTGGGTGAAATTCTGCTTTTTCACGTTTCCCCTTAGGGATGAGGGATATTATCCTCTGGTTTTAATTTGGAAGTAATAAATAAACGTGATGGATTTGCCACCCAATGGCGGCTGTGGAGCTGCGCACAGCTCAGCGCAGGGAGGGCTGCAGGGGTGGTGCCATGGTGTGCTGCTGCTGCTGGTGCTGCCATCAGAAAGGAAAGCGGTGCAAAGCCAACTGGGCATGGGGCTTCATGGGGGCTGCAGGTCAGAGAGCAGGGAAATCTGTCTTATCTCTGCATCCCAAACGTCCTTCTGGCTGCACGGGGTCGTAGAATGCACACTGTAAATTACATGGCAAAATATCCAGCGGTCTTTTTCAATAAGGAAAGAAGGAAAACACGCAGGGATTTAAGAGACGAAGCAGTTCAACTTGCGGGTTCCTTTTGTTTGCAAACGGGGACAGTTCTGCCGAGATCCAAAAACCACTCCAAACCTTCAAAATTAGCAAATAACCATCTGGCCTGGTGGCTCAGCGCCTTCCGCGGCCATAAATCCACAGCCCTGCAACGTTAGCAGGGGATTTGCTCTGTAAAAACCCACTCAGTCTTTGGGTAATGGGAAAACAAGGCAGGATGGCTGTTGGGAGCTGCAGGGTCCAGCAAGCATTGCAGGGTGCAGAGATCTGCACAGAGAGCTTTGGACCCTCGGTGAAAAAACCCTCAGCATGGAATAGGGAGGCTAGAGGGGAATGCTGGTTCCAGTGCTCTGTGCAGTGCTTTGGTCTGAGCTCCTTCGCCTCCATTGATGGATTTTTTAAGCTAAGACACAGTTTAGAAAGTAGGAACAAAGAGGTAATATCCCTGGGAAGGCTGTCTGCATGCAGAAGAGCTCTGAAATACTCCCGAGACTGTGATTATGGGCATGATGGCCCCAGGAGCTCAAACAGCCCTGGGTGCACAGCATCAGCCTGCACCCACTCCCTGCCCTGCCAGTGCTGGCCAGGACTCAGCTTCAGCCATAGCACTGGTATGAGCTTTGGCATGATGCACAACGACTGTCCCCTTTCTCACCCTCGTCCTGCATCCCACATCCCACAGACTTCAGGCTCTCCCACATACAGCAGGGCTGGTGAAAATCACACCGGAGCTCAATGTCAGCGCAAAGCAATGCGTGCAGCCCTGGTTTCTGCTCCACATTAATTCAGGATCTTTGAGACCTCCCCGAGAAACTGCGAATGGCTGGGGATGAGGAAAGCTTTCTGTGCTGCAGGAGGGCAGGGAACCACAGCCGGGCTGTGCTTGGTGTGCTGCTGTGATCCATGCCCCAGCATCATGTGCTGCTTGGTGTGCTTCGTGCCTGGGAAGCTGCAGTTTGGAGATCAGGGTAAGATGTGTGATACCCTCTGAGTGCCAGGGAGCAGCATCAGCTGTAGGAGCAGGAGTGTGAGAAAGGGATCCAAAGGCAGCGCAGTGATTTGTTTTCCTGTCACTTGTATCAATGAAATGCAAGTAGAAATGTTAGTAGGAAATGCATAGGAAAAAGCTTATGGAATCAGGCCTGTTAATCTCTATCACTGACAAATAAAGCTGATGGCAGAGAGCTGGGCAGGGTTCTATGCAGAACTGTAGGATTGCTGTCTGCCCCACTGTGTGCAAGCAGAGCAGAGCAGAGTCCAAAAACAACTGCACTTCATTTGCTTGCACTGAAATCAAGGGCACATCGAGCACAGTCTGCAGGACAAAAAGCAAAGCCTGCAGTTATCCAGTGCCCGATCCAACAGGTCACACTGAATGCACTGCAGTGCTGTGAGCTCCCGTGGGGATCTGTGCACACAGGAGGTGCTGCAGCTGTAGGGAGTGCCTGCTCTGCTTCTCAGCCATAAAGGGCTCATTTTGAGGTAGAGAAATGCAATTAAAGACATGCAACAACTCAGAGAAATGAGCAGAAGGACTGAATACAGCAGCAGCCCCAGCTTTCAGCATCTGTTCAATTATTTGTCTTTGGTTTGCTCTGCTCCTGTGCCCACATGGTGCTGTGAGAGACCTCCTCCACCCATTTGTTCCCCACAGAGCAGGGGTATAAAGGAGACAGCAGCTGTGGGCTACAGGTGAGCACAGTGATTGCCTTCATAATTACTGATGGGATTTACCTGGGCCACAGCAGTTAAAAGTGGTGCTGCCCAGTGTTCAGCTTCAGAGTGATGGGGATGTTTCTGTGGGCACCTCAGGTAAGAGATTAGTTTAAAAAGTACTAAAATAAGCCTTTTTTTTTTGGAGGGGGTGTGGAGTGGAGGCAGGAGTGAGACTTTCAGCTCTCACGTTCAACCACAGAATAGTTCTGTATGTTGCTGGTACAGAGCTGGGGCTGCTCAGCCTCAGTGCCTGCCTGCAGCCCCCTCTGAGGAGGGGTTTGTGGTGCTGGAGGGGAGCTGTGCCCTGCTTTCTCTCCCTTACAGCCTCAATGTCTGCCTGGTGCTTGGCCTGGCTCAGCAGTGAGCTCTGGGCAGGCTTTGAGCACGGAGCTGTGGGTGTTTGGATGAGCTGTGAGGCACAACCTGAGCGAGGCAGCAGCAAAAAGCATCGTGAGCAGAGGTGAGTTTGAGCGCACTGCGTAATGGTGTATTGCACTGCTTATCTACAGCAATGTTACAGCTGGGGTGGATGGGAGCTGCTTCCTTCCTGCTGGGTGGATTCTTCCCTCTCTGAAACCCTGCTGGTTGCTCCAGGAGCAAACCCAAATCTCCCCTTGGGCCCTGAAATCCTGGGGAACTTTGGCTCAGATTTGCTGTGCACATGGGGGACTCCAGGCTACAGGAACGAAGGTACCCACCTGCATGCAGTGCAATGAGCCAGAGGTCCTCTGCTGGGTAGGGAATACCCCTCACTCTGCAGCAATGAACGGGAGGAAGGGAACTTTGCAGTTCACCCCATCTCCAAAACCTGCCACGAATGAGGAGAAACTGTAAAATTCCACTTAGAGCCTTTTATTTTTTTTGTAATGTATCGGTTTACGTTCCTAATGTTGGTATCATCCAGCACTTTAAATCAAATTATAGCTGTATCAGACTGCTTAACAATGTTTCTTTTTAATTAAGTTTACCAGTCCCACATGCATTAAGAAAAAAAATTTAAAAAATTAAACAAACTTAATTAAATTACATTTTGGGGTTAGGTAAGACTGCAAAAAACCCAGCAAGAGCACAAGGGCTGGAAAATGCCTTTAGATGTGCTCAGGCTCTCCTTCAAAGCTGTGTTCTTTTAGGATGGTTTCTGAAGGTGCATCCCATTGCCTGCAGGTCTGCGTGAGTTGCCTGTTTGGTTTCTTCCCCTTCCATGTGATTTAAATACTGCCTTTGCTGGCATAAAAAGCAGGGAGCCCTTTGGAAAGCTGAGGATTGGTGAATTTGGTGCTTTGAGCAGGCTGTCTCAATAAGCAATGCAATGGCAGGAAGGCTGTGTGTCTTTGGTGACCTGTGCTGGTCATCCCAACGCCCAGAGCTTGTGACAGCCTTTCCCAGGGTCAGAATCCAGCAGTTCCCAAAGTTTGGCTGCAGAAAACCCACCGAAACTGGGATTTCACTGATGTTTCTTTTCACCTGGTGGAACAAAGCTGCCAACCTGCCCAGCAACACCAAGCACCACGATGCTGCCCGTGCCAGCCCCCAACCACCCAAACCCAACTGTCCCCAACAGGAACCCAGTGCCCTGAGGATGGGCAGCTGTCACTATGTGTCACCATGTGATTGTATTTTTTTTTTGTCCTCCCCCCCCCAGCCTCCGCATCTGGGGCTGTGAGGATGAAGTCAGCCCCGGAGCTGCTGCGGGCTGGAAGTGATTTCACCGAGCTGCAATGCAGATGGATTAATTCCAGTGCTGCAAAGTCAACATGGTTGAACACTGGCTACATCACAGTCTTCATTACTGTGGTCTGGATCGGGTTTTGATGAAGTAATTTCCCTTGAGTTTAGCACTTAGAAAACATATAGGGCGTCCTGCTTGGATTTGCCCCCCTCTTCTTTTTTCCGCCGCCCCCCCCCCCCCCCCCAATGGGCCTTTATCAGTTGCACGTGGACCCCTGTGATCTGGAGGGCTTCCAATGAACCCCATCTGCTCCGTGGCACGCAGTGCCCAAACAACACTGAGAAAGAGATGGGTGTTATTAATAACAAACGGTACAGCGCTGCATCTCCCTGGAGGGACGAGCCATCTCTGTCTTTGCCAATGGCTCTGTCCCAAGGCCATCCCCAAAAAGTACAGCAGTGACCTGGGGAGGGAATGGGGTCTCATCCAGCTGAGCTCAGCAGTGGGGCACCAAGATGCCAATGCTAATCATCCTGCTCCATTTCCAGTTTCTGACACTTGAAGATTGCCCTTCAAGCACAGATGTTTATTCTGTGATTATTTTTTTTTTAATTGTTTTTCCTTCTCAGCTATGAACTCTAATCAAATACTTGTCATATGCAATTTGCTTCCTTGGAAAATAATCCTGGGAAGGTGAGCTGGTTCTGTCCCAGCGATGCCTTGCAAGGGCACCTCCTGCCTGGCAGCCCCACCTCCTTCCTTCGGTACCAGGATTTCAGCAGAAGTCGCTTTAAGGGGCAGCAATGGGGTTTCCCTGCTCTCTCGTTCATCCAAAGCCATCTTCCCATCTCGGCGTGATGCTGCAGGTCGGCGCAGGGTCTCTTCAGAAGGACGGGAGGCACTTCCAGCTGTGCGATAGGCACCGTGGGATGGCAACAAGGAACGCGCCGCTGGAAACTGCTGAAGTAGCCAAAAAATGCTGGCACGGGGTTGGAAAAAACACCCAGGTGGGTGGGTTTGCATCGCCTGCGAACTGAAATGTACGGGGATAAGGGATGCCAAGCCGGCACAGCGCTCTGAAGGACTCAGCGCCGTTCATCCGTGCCGCTTTATTTACGCGCATCGGTAAATAACACCTCGGAGCAGCCCGGCCTCTGCCTGCCGCCTGGAGGCCGGAGCCTGCAAACAGCGCTTCCTGCAGCCCCCTCGGCTGTGCCCGCAGCGTAAGGGAGCGTTCTGGATGCAGCAGCCCCGGTATCCCATCCCAGCCGCTCTCCTGGCCGGGCTCCGTGCTTCACTCCCAGTCCAGCTGGGCAGCAGCTCGCGTTGCTCCCCATCACGGCACCAAAAGGTTTCTCCTCCTCGTTTTCTTCTGCGGGTTCTCCCCGGGGCGACAATGCGGAATTTCCTCTGAAACTCGAGCAAAAGGGAGGAAATTAATTTTCTTTTTCTTTTTTCTTTTCCCCCCTTGGTAAAGTAATGATCTCCTGTTCCTCAGAAGCGCCATAGCAAGCAGCTCTGCGAGTTTTGAGTTGAAACATCGTGATTCTCAGCATCGCTTGCATGGAGCTGGGATGTGGCTGCTGTCACTGAGGCAGCTGCTGAACCCCCGTGAGGGTTTTGTCCTGGGTTTATATTGGAAAACAGGGGTAATTATCAATGTTCCTGAAGGAGAGGTGGAAAGTGCCCCAAGAATTGTTGGCTGTAGATCTGTAGGGCTACAGGAGGAAAGCTTTGCTCTGCCTGCAGTTACCCTTTGCAGGGCTAAAAGAAATGAAAGATCGTGGTACTTTGAAAGGCCATGGAAGGAAAAAGCTTTAGGTCTGTGGGTCTGCTTTGCTCCAGTTGTAACAGTTCATGATTTGTAAAAATCCATTTTTTGATGAACAAAAAAATAAAATAATAGGATGCTACTGTGAGATCAGGTTTTGTAAACCCTGTGTTAGGGAATCACAGGGGAAAAATAAATCTCCAGTCTGATTCTCAGAGAAGGTCACAGGGGAAAATACGTTCCCAATCCAATTCCCGAAGTGTTTCAGTGTCTCTGCGAGCAGCGAGAGCTGCAGGAGAGGATGGGATCCAAGCACCCATTTTAGGCTGTATTTGCCCAGATTCTACCCTCCATCCCATGGTGGGGAAGTTCACTGAGAGCTTTGCTTCTCTGACCCAAAGCTTTGATTGGTGGGTTTTGTTTTGTTTTGTTTTCCCAAATCTGCCTGAATTTTGGTAGGGCAGAGCTAGGAAAGCTGATGTGAGGAGCTGCTCCCCTCCTTGGCAATCCCTGTCCCCACCAAGCAAGTCTGAAGAATTAACATTTTTCTGCATATTTAAATCACAATTTACCTGATTTTCTTCATTTTTCTTGATTGAGTTGTTACACTCCTTTGCTTCGTGCTCTGATAAAAAGGTTTTTCCTTTTGTGGCCTTTCAGAGTATCACAGTCTTTCATTGCTTTTAGCATAGGGTAACTGCAGGCACAAGAAAGCTTTCCTCCTGCAGCCCCACTGCATCCTCACTGCTTTCTTTGCCCGACACAGGAGCGTATTGGAGGAGTGTAAGGACAGAGCACCCACCTCTACTGGGATCCACAAAACATCTCTCCGAGTGGAACGGCCCTCAGCTTTGGAAGTATGGCCTCAAAACCTCTGTGGTGGTGGCACAGATCTGCATGGGGAGCATAGGGCTGCAGGGCGGCACCAGGACCGCGCTTCTGAGCGAGCAGCAGTGATTATTTCAGATCTCTGCTATGTGAGTTATGTTCCTCCTTCCCGATGCGCGTTTTTGGCAGCAGGGAAACAAGAAAACCGCCTTGGAAAATATTAACAAAATGGAAACTGAGATCGTAAAGCATTTTGCTCTGGCCTGCTTTCCCTTTTGCGATCTGCACCAGCAGGGCCGTAAGCCAATTTAGGGCCATTTAACCTCGGGGCTTTCTCACGGAAGGAAGAGCTCTGGCAGTGCACAAAGCCCAGCACCTGCAGGCTGGGATGCAGTGCAGATGTTCCCAGATGTGCCGCGGGCACCGCGCTCGGGCCGCCGGGTCACGTTCTGCCTCAGTTATTAAGGGAACGTGATGCTGGTCTGTAATACCACCGGTGTGTATTTTGGACAGGTTTGGGTAATTGGAGAAGTAATGGAAATTTAGCACCGTGTGGCCCTGGGGAAGAGCAAACTCCAAGAATAAGAAGGGAAGCACGGTGCAGAGAGCCGGCACGGCTCAGCAGCTCTCCTGTTCGTTGGGATTTTGCCTCTTCCTTTAGAAGTTCCTTAGCTGCAGCAATCCTTGCGGTGACACCTCTTGCTTTGCAGTGTTTTCTCCACCAAGTCTCCGTAGCTGGAGGCCAACCACTCGTTTCCCTTCGGCACCCAACCCGCTGAGCGCTAGCAGCCCCTTTGCAGCCTGAGAACTCACCAACAAATTGCTTCCACACTCTGGCCCGACATCAAAACTCGTGCAGTACAAGGGTTAACCAACTTAAACGTTTAAAGAGTCATGAAATGGACGGTTTCCGCTTTCCATCTGGCTTTTATCAGTCCTAAGTCGGTTTCAGAAGTACAGCTACACAATCAAAACACACAATCTCCCTAGTCAGATAATTCAATTTCATAAATGAATTACTTATGTGCCTGTAAGTAAATACATTCCTATGTGGGGAGATATTGACTGCTGTCAATGGAGTAATGAGGTCCAGGGGAAGTGGCTGCGGCCCCTTGGGGGTGTCCTGTAGAGATGTGGGACTGATGGAACTCCCAGGATGGGGGATCTGAGGGGAGAGGAGGGGCTGCCCATGGGAAGGTCACCTCGAGACACCCTTGGGGATCATAGCATGGGCTGTGAGTGGTGTGATGGATGGGAAAGGGGATGGACTCGTTTGTGCCTCGTGGGATCTTCTGTGGTGGGGTCAGTGGTTGGGCATGATAGCCTTAGAGGTCTTTTTCAGCGTTAATGATTCCATGATTCTAATATCTGGGGGAAATGTTGGAGGAGGTGATCAGAGAAAGCCTCAGGATCCTGCCCAGGAGAGCAGAAGTTCTCAGCTTTCCCATGCAGGCTGATCTCCTCCCCTCATAGCCTCTCTTTGCTCCACAGGATACTAAAAATCCCACCCTTAGGCCCGCAGCTTCATACAGGAAGACTCGGTGCTGCAGAGATGATTTGGAAGCTTTTGCACTTTGGTGTCTTTTCTTAACGTGGACCTTAATGTGTCAGTGCAGACAAGGGCACGAATACGCATCCACGGAGCCACTTGGGAGTTACGCAGTGAAGTGTTGCACAAGGGAAATGTGGAGTTGTGCTGCTGAGCTTCCCCTGGGGCAAGGAAACTGCGAAACCTGATGTTGTGCACATCTCAGCCCTGTGGTGTTCTGCTGCCTTCTAGTTCCATCTCTTCATTTAACAGTGAGCTTCAAGTACCCAAAGCCCCTATCAGGATGGCAGCGCTGGGCTTTATTGCCTCTTTGACATCTATTTAATTGCAACCAAGTCAAACTGCAAACAGAATCGCACTCAGTTGCTTGAGCACAGCTGTATGGCTGGCTGCTAGGAGCTCGTAGTGTTTCCCAACCTGCACACACGGCTCCTTGCCCTAAGCCTCCCCTTTTGCAGTGATTTTCTGCAGAACGTGAGCAGTGCTGGCAGGGCTGCATTGCTGAGCTCTGTGTCGGTGCCTGCTGGGGTTTCATCCACGTCACGCAGGAGCTGGAAGCTGCTATCAAACGAAATAAAAGCCAAATATCACAGCCTTGAAGGAAAACCAGGCTGCTCCTGCCCTGCATGTGCCTTCCTCTGAGCAAATCCGGCCTGTTTCTGCATAATTGTGCCATAGATCTCCCTTGCTGAAGGGGATTCAATGCGAAGGTAACATTCGCTCTCTTCTGCTGGAGTCAATTGCTGAATAAATACAGTGTTGAAAGCCTGGAGAAATTCGGAGACAACTCTTCAAAAGGACAATTTTGAGGGGTACAAATTGTAACCACCAAACCTGCGTTCACATTCTGCATCTGCGGATAATTGCAAGCATCTGTGGGGCTGAGTGAGTGGGGATGGGGGGGGTGAGGGCAAAGCTGTGCTCTGGGAATGGGGCTGCATGGGGTGGGCTGTTTGGGCCCTGCAGCATGGGAGAGCCTTGTTGCGTGGGGGGGGGGGGGGATGGAAAGTTAAAATAGAGAAAAAGAATAGAAATAGTATAACAAATAACATTTTGAGCTGGCAAAACACCTTTGGTGATCAAACCCTCTTTTTTCTTTTTGCTGGAGAAGTTCTATGGGCGCTGACAGCCGATGGGCATTTGTGCAACCTTTCTGGCTTGGGAAGGTAACACGCGTATTTTGGCTCTTTGCCTTGGGAGTTCTTGCTGACATCCCACTCGGTTCCACCTCTGGGGGTTTTCTCCTTTCTGCCTTGTGGTGGTTGCACCCTGCACACTGCTGCAGGACAAACACAGCACGAGTGCAGTCAGACGCTGCCCCAAGAGCAGCTCCTGAGCAATCAGCTCTGCGGGGTTCAGGAGGTCCTTATTTTCAGGCGGGAAGTGCTTTAATCAAGATTAATTTTTTCCAGTTTTCAGTAATCGGAGCTCTTCCTGAGTTTTCCTCAGCTCTGCTGTAGAATGAAATTATCAGATTTCCATGGCAATTAAAGCAGAAAGCTGAAAGCACGCGGATCGCTCAGTACCATGGCTGATGGGGAACAAGTGGATAGAGGCTGCGAGAAGGAAAGAGGATTTTCACGGCTGCTGCAGGGCCTCGCAACAAGCTGCAAGCTGCTGCAGCCCTTCTTGCCTTTCCCTTAATGCAAAACACCCAGTGTGCAATGAGGGAGAGAGCAAAAGGGCTGAACTTTGGTGCTGGTCAGTTCTGAATCAAGCAGATGCTCCACAGTGGGTGCACGGGTGCTGCTCCACAGGTGATAGAGGGGTGACTCTGTTCTTCCTGGGTCCCGTTGCTCCTTGCAAAATCAGGATTGGTCCCTGCAAGGCCTGCCAGCGGCTCAGGAGCTGCAGGAAGCTCACCAAGTCCAACCATCCGTCCATCCCACCATGCCCACAATGCTGTGTCCCCATACGCCACATCTACACGATGCTGCACGTGAGTCATGGCTGCTCTTCTCTTTGAACAAAGGAAGAGCCAACCAAACCAAGGTAACGTCCACAGTGATGAGGTAAAGAGCTTAATTACCTGCTGCATTTCATTGCCACGCCATTTCTGAGGCTGACTGCTATGATAAATGTGAGGAACATCAGATGTTGAATGCAAAATACAAAGGGAGGAGGAAAAAGAAGTCTCCCTATGGTTTGAATCCTGAGCCCAGATTGCTCCCCACAATGAAAGCACAATTTTTCAACTAGAAAATGGCACTTTTGGCTGGGATGTTATTTTCTGGGCTCAGTCAGAGCCAGAAGGGGCAATGCCAGCCAGCAAAACTTGTCCCATTGCTCTCAGGTGTTGACCCATGTGTCCATCCTTCACTTTTCCCTATCCTTGCTGAAGGAAATCACATCCCACGGAGGGCACTGGGCTCTCCCCCGTGCTGCAGCCCCAGCCCCTATTCTGCAGCCATATGCAGGATATCACCCCCTCCTCGGGGTTGGGTTACCCCGCAGTAATTAAATTACAGTTCACAAATGATAAATCCTAGCACAGTTGGTTGAGAAATCTGGGCTAAGAAGGAATGGAAGTGAATTATTAAATCCAAATGGCTCCACGGCCTGGACCTGTCCACTCTGCTTCTCAGCAAAATTAGCATCAGTGTGGGGCACGATGAGCTGCTGCATGGCGACAGCTGCTCCCAGGTTCACCTGGGGTAGGGCTGCAGCTCTGGGTAGAGTGCATAGAGGTGTCACCTCCGAATTGCATGGCTGGAGAGACAGATGTGAGCCGTGTCCCAGTGTGGGTGTCCTCACAGCCCGTGTCGTACCCGAGTGAGCTGCTTCAGCAGTGATTTAAATGCAAACAGCAGAAAGCCACTCAATCCTGACATTTGCCCCTTCTCATCAGGCGTTGGCACTGGCTGATCCCTTCATGCTTTCCAGAAATAGCTGGGGCTCTGCTGTGCCTTTCAGCCTTGGTTTTGGGGAGAGGTGAGGACTGCAGAGGGAAATCCCAGCAGCGGGGCTGGCCTTGATCTGCTGTGAAGTGAGTGTTCATCTGACCTGCTCACCTCCCTGTGCCTGCCCTGGTTTTATTCACAGATGTATTCATTTCATAGCATCATAGAATCCCAGAATCATAGAATGGTTTGGTTGGAAGGGATCTCAAATCCCTCCCAGCCCCAAGCCCTGCTGTGGGCTGGTTGCATCCTAACAGATCAGGTTGTCCAGGGTCTCCCCAGCCTGGCCTTGGGCACATCCAGGGATGTATCCTAAATCAGTGGGACATCCCATCAACGGCCTTCCAGCCAATGGGCCAGCCAGTCAGTGGGACTTCCAATCAATGGGACTTCCAATCAGTGGGACTTTTTCCTTCAAAAGGACCGCAGAACATATGGAAAGTCACGGGGTTTTTCCTAAAGATGAAGTTTATGGAAATGAATATTACAGCATTGTTTTCAAACTTATTAGCTGTGTCATACTGTTATTGCCTCCAGTCATTTCTTGTAGAAAACAAATAAACAGCCAGTATTTGTCAATCTCGGTAATAAACTATAGTGGCAGCAAGCTTAATCTGGTGTTAATTAGGCTTGTGGAAAACTAAATCAAGCACCAGAAACCACAGATTATTTTAGGCTTCCTCTAGCATAAACACAAAGGCTTGAGGATTCGTAACGTATTATTTTTGTTGACAGTTTTCCACTTTTCCCTCAATTTATTTCATGTATCCGATAGGCCACTCCTTGATTGCTTTTAGTTCTGTCTTCTTTTGGCCTCAGCGTGGCAGTTTGTTAATCCTTCCTATTTTTGTGTATTTAAGCAGGATTACAAACTTCAAATACGCTGTAAAAGGAACCCGTATACAACCCTTCAAAATCACTTAAGTGGGCCAATGACAGAAGAACCAGCCCTGCAAATAAATACAGAACATTTCGGAAATCATCCCCGGTGTTTATTTATGAGCCATTTTTAATTACTCAGCAGGAATGAATGAAAGAACTGGAAAATGGGAACCGACAGAGGGCTTTGCATTGAGTTACAGCTCATGGAGAACAAGGGAGAGATCACGGCTCTTTCAAGTCGGGATGGTCGGAGGGTTATAATTACACCCTGCTGCTTTATGGACAAAACCTCAGAATTAAATGGCAAGCTGTATTTCAGACAGCACGAGGATCCCTCAGAAGGCTTCGTGCAGCTTTGAGGAATAGCAGGAAGCCTCACGCAGGGAGCAGCAGGCGGGGAATCAGCAGGGCAGAGCTGTAGGATCAGCAAGGTGACCCGTCTGAAGGGCAGCTGATGGAGAGCAGCGTGAGTTCTGCTTGGCGTGTCTGTAGGGAGGAAATACAGAGGAGGAGAAATGCTGCCATGCCACGAGGTTAGCCGAAAAGTGTTTTCTCTGCAGCTCCCACAAGAAAGGCCCGTGACTGAGAAAGAACATCGCGTTCATTTGTTGGGACAAGCTGATCTTCAAGCTGATTTGTGTTAATTTGGAAAGTGAAATTTTTGTTGTTGTTGTTGTTGTTCCCCCTTTCTTTTTCCAGGAAAAACTGAGCTGTCTGGTTTTGATCACTTGCCGTGCTCAGAACCAAAGTCCTCAAAGTAAATATTTCCTATGAAGGACATTAAGGACCAACTCATGGG